ATCGAACCATCCATGGCCGGACGGCGGAGCGTGAGGTGGCGAGCGGAGAGATGTACCGCAAGACCAAAAAAACACGGATCTGACGATTGTCACAAAACGTCAGATCTGCGCCACCCAGGGCTGGACCTAGTCGTCACTCGGTGGAGTGTTTAGAGTTTAGGAGCATAGTATGTATGTAGGAAGTGAATGCAATATATTGGGGGGAGGGGGGGGGGTACGAGTTGGCGGGACGAGTTGAAGCGCGAGGGCGGCGACGAATTGGCAGTGAGCTCAGAGCCGACCAGTCGATTGCCGTTCGCTGCCGCTGGCTGCTTTCTGCCGCCGGCTCGCGGCTGCCGCTGGCTGCCGGGCGCCCGCCACAAATGGAAGACGAGTACTACGTGGTAGCGGCGGCCGCGGGGGCCGCTGGCACACGAGGCGCTCGCCGTCTCCGCCGCGACGCGGTGAGGCACAGAGAATGGAGAGCCGAGCGCATCGGCGCATTGTGCCATCGCGTTGCGGTCAGGGCCTCGGCGACGGAGAGCGGGGCGGAGGAGCATGAGGCCGGGGCGGCGTTCAAGTGGAAGTGGAACATAGACGGAAGGCACCAGAAGATGAGTGGAATTGATGAATTGGGCCGTTGTCCGTGCCTCCCCTCTATACGTCAGAGTGGGACCTACGCCGCGCCGGGAAAGGGGCGCGCCCGGTCCTCGACGGAGCCGCGCACCCCAAACGACCCGGGCGGCGAGGAGTCGACCTCGAACCTTCGACATGTAGTGGTAGACTTCTTTCTCCATCCGCCTCGCCCTGCCTTTTCGTAAAAGGCCGTTCGCCCTCCATTCGGTGACCTCCATGGCTGTCCGCATCCTTTTGGGTGGCGCTCTCGATACCGTTGCGTCAACCTCGACATCGCTGTCGCCCTCCCCGCCCCCGTCGTCGCCCGTGCCTCGGTTCGCGTCATTGGTAGCGTTTCCGTTGTTCCCTCGTGCTCCGCCGTCGCCCTCTCTGCTCGGGCCGTTCGCGATTTTGCTCCTCCTGCGTGTCGCCCCTCCGTCTCCCCTTCCTTCGTCGTCATCGTCGCTGTCGCGAAAGCCCTCCGGTCCCTCGATTCCCTCGTCTATCCCCTCCGCTGCGTCGTCCCAGTTTATATCCTCATCCTCTGTGCGCGTTTTCGTTCCCTCCCCTTCTCCATCGTTGTCGCCTCCGTCGACTGCGGCGCTGTCTCTGCCCTCGCCTCCGTCCTCCTCGTCTCGCCTGCCGTCGTCCCGTGTCTCCTCGTCCTCGCCATCGTCTTGGCCGTTGTCTACTTGTTCATCGTGTCCCTTGCTGCTGGTGTCATCGCCGTTGGCTTCCTCTCTCCCCCTTTCCTCCCTGCCCCTCTCGCTGTCTGGTGCTAATGGACCCCCTTCCTCTCCCTCGCCACCGTCACCGTCACCATCCCCGTCGCTACCGCCCTCCATCCCCGCCGCCCTTTGTCTCACACTCGTCTCTGCCATGTCCGCCGCCGCCGCCGTCTTGTCTGCTGCGCTCTGTGCTCCGTGGTACAGTCGCTTATTGTTGCTCAGGATTAGCTCGCGCACCACACACAATTCAGGAGATGACGGCACGCTGGAGCGACACACAAACTCGCAAGACACTCAGCTGCTTGTGTGTCAAACAGATCCACCCTTCCTTTCACCTCTCAGCTGACATCTCGGCAAGTGCTGTGCAGAGTGTGGCGAGGGTGGCGCAGCCCGCGAGACCGCCAAGGACCTCGCTCCAGCCGTAGCCAATGCTGAACAGGTATGCCGCCCCTACCTGAAACAGGAAGCCACCTGCCTGGCCGGCGGCATTCAGCAGCGCAAGGACGCGTGCGGAGGCGTCGCCATGGGACAGCGAAAACACCGAAACGCTCACGTAGTACAGCAGGGCGAAGCACGAGCCCGCGGCAGCGAGGAGGCCGTTCAGCGCGAGGGCATACCACGCCCTGCTGTTGTGGAGGGCCTGGCTGCTAGCCGAGGTCAGGTGCACGAGGCAGACGATGCAGGCACACCCCAGCGCGTTGAGACCGATCATGAGCACCGCCTTGCTGCGCACACCCAGGCCGGAGTAGAACGGCGTGACAATTGAGATGGTTGCAAACACTGCCACATGGAAGAGCGCACTCTGCATGGCAGCATCGCTCGCGGAGAGGTGCGCGCATTGGACGAGCACGACGGCCACCAGGTTCTCCATCCTCTGGACGCAAGTGGCACCAGCCATCGCCACCGCGTAGAGCACGATGGGCGGATCCAAGCAAAGTTCAACCCCCGACGGTGAGCATGGTCCACCATTGCGCTGGGTGCGACCTGATTTGAGTTGACCCGCCGCAAATAGCGGGACGATGATGAACACCGCTGCGCCCAGAGTCAGGGCGACGCTAATGCACATCACCCGCCACGAAACAGCCGACAGCAGTGCGCCGAGGCCCACGCGAGCACCGATTCTAATCAGTAGGGAGGTGTTGGTCAGGAGGCCGAAGGCGATGGGCCAGCGCTCCCTGTGGTATGTGGCCTCGATCGCCTTCGACTCTGCGGCCCAAGAGCCCGACAGGCAGATGTTGCAGCTGGCCCAGCACGCGAGTAGTGCCACCTCCGACGGAGCGAGAGCAAAGGCCGCCAGCGACACCGCCATGGCCAGGATTGCGGCTATCAGATAGGGCGCCCCAGCCGCGTCGACCAGTGGTGCCGTGAGGACCTTGCCCAGCGCGTTCGCCAACGCCGCCACGCCGTTAAAAAGCATTGCAAAGGAGCTGCTGTCACCCGCCTCACCAACAATGGCAGGATCAGAGACGAGTTGGGCGAGCGCCACCACGGGCGCAACGTTGCCAAGCGCAGTCAACGCGTGGGGCGCAAAGCAGATACAATGCCTTGCGCGCGACACCGTCGCGGGGACCGACGCAGAGGGATAGATCATTTTGCGCGAGGACGCACGCACCACAGTTTAAAAAATCCTCCTTCGGAAATGTACACTTGAGCACTTGAGCACTGGATAGGGTCGATTCCGCATGGTACGGGACTCCTCGATCGTCTCGCCCTCCCTCACTGGTGTGTTCACTGGATGTATACTAGCTAACTGGGAGAAAAGGGAGAGGGGGGGGGGTGTTCTCTAGGCCCCTAAATAAAGGCCCTACAACGCGCGGCGAATGTACTGTACGTAAGAGCCAACTACGTGCCTCCCCGTGTTTGTAGCCTGGCGTTTGTGCCCCGTTTGTGCCGCGTCCCGTGCCCCCGAGTTCATTTTAATATTAGCTAGTCCAAAGAAATAAAAAATAAGAACCACATACACTGAAAATGCTTTGGACGGCAGAGTCAAGAGCCCAAATCACTGCACTACGCCTTCGCGCCAAACACACCGTGACGTGGAGGCATGTGGAGGGTCACAGCGGCAACAAATGGAACAACTACGTCGACGAGCTAGCTGCTCACGGCAGGCAGGGAGGGTGACAGAGGCTCAAACGCTGCCGAGTGGGCGGACGGCACCATCCCGACGGACACCACACTCCCGACGAGGGAAGCAACGCGGAGGGGGGGGCGACAGCAGTACCATTGGACACGGAGCAACGGGCGGCGGCCAGGACTCGGAGAGGGAAGATGATAGCGACACCGACTGTGGACCTCCACCACCTCTCTCCCCGGACGACGCCGCTCTCGCCATCTGCTATGGTCTCTCTCTCATACACAACACGCTCGCCGACTTGGCAACAGGGGTTGACTCCATCGCGCTAGGCGACGAACCTGCCCCCGCCCCTCGGGGCGGGGGCCCCCGCCCCCCCGGGGGGCCCTTTGGGCCCCTCCAGGGGGCGACCCCTCCGGGGAGGCCGGCCTTCCCCGTGCCGGTTCTCCCCAACCAACCCCGCCGGCAGCGCGAGCTGCCAGCCATATTGAGCGGTTCAACCGCGTCGCGCACTCGTCCCAACCGGGGGCCGCAGACTCGTTCTGCGCGCCAACGGCTGGTGACGCTGTGTTGCCCTTGAGCTAGTCCTTCCCCGGTCGCCAAGCCTCTACGCTGTCTGGCGAACGCCTGTATGCCATGCGCGCGGACCACGCTTGCGTGGATACGTGGCTGGCAGGCTGACCCGTGTGCGGGGTAACCCGCGCACGGGGAAGCTTCACGGGTTCGAGTCGTCAAACATTGAGCAGCGGAGGTGTGCCGGGGGACCGGGAGGCGGTAAGTCGTCGTCGCCCGGCGCTGCTTGCAGCACTGTGGCGATGGCGCTAAGAGGTTCCTCTTTTCCGCGCCCCCCCCCCGCAAGGCGCGCGATACACAATCGACAGGCATTCATCGATGAAGGCGCCCCGCTCACCGTCGCGCGGCCCTGACCGCAACGCGGTGGCACAATGCGCCGATGCGCTCGGCTCTCCGATCTAATCTGGGTTAGGGTTTGGGTCGCCGTAGCCCCTGCCTGTCTGATACGAGCTCGTATGACGGTCGAAATCGGTCCACACGGACCGGCGAAACACGTTCGTGCAGTGGTGGAGTCACAGTGGGACCGGAGTTTCGCCCTCCTGGGCGCGGGGACGGCATCAGGGGTGGCATGCAAGCAGCAGAGAGGCGCTTTACGAGCACTCTCCCACAACGCTGGGCACGGGACTGGCGCCGGTGGCGCGATCCGAACTGGCCTCACAACACAAGGTACCACCAAAAAATAATTAGCGAAGAGGAAAGCTAAGGCCGCGGCGTGCGACGCCAACAACTACGACTTCATGACATGGGCGGCGAGCACGCGCGGCGGCATCGGGAGGGAGGCGGCGGCGTGGTTCACCGCCGGACGTCCATCCACTGGGATGAGAATACTGGATGGAGATCTAAGGTCGAATCTGCCGATTCCACAGCCGCCCACAGGAGCGCCGCCTCAACGCGGGGTCTCGGCTCTACCGAGCCATGCTAGCTCCAGCCGCAGCCCCACCCGGCCGCCCGAGGGTGTTCCCGCATGCAGAGAAGACCAATCCTGGGGTAGGGGGTGCGCAGCCAATCCACCAGTGTGGGATTTCGCGCAATCGCTTGACTCTGAAAAGCTCGCATATCCCTGCGGCGAGCGCTGTGGTCGCCGCAGACTGGCGCCGACTTGACGGCAGCATGGAGACGTGATGCCTCCATGCTGCCGTCGATTCAAAATCGACATGCGAGTCGATCTTTGGCCCGCCAGAGGGATATGCGGCGTTTCGGGCGACAAACAGCGCTGCGACCGCGAAGTGGCGGTGGACATGCTCCCATGTTGCCGACGCGGCGCCGGAGTGGCCGGCGCTGCTCGCCGCGACCACGACGGCTACTCTGATGCTCCGGGCCGACCCGTCCTACCCGACGGTGGCACTCTTCCACGTCTCGCTCACGCTGAGAAAAATTCTGAAACGGCGTGCAGTAGAGTCACCAACGAGTCGGTCCGCGTGACTCCTCGTGTCCCGCACCGTTCTCACACATCCATAAACTCACTTTGGCCCTACTGAAGCGATGCCTGAATCCTGAATCCTCAGATTTTAGATTAGGACGCTGCGCACCCCCTACCTGGGCGGCGGGAAGTAACCATGCCACTAGCAGCGCCGGGCCCGAAGGAGGGTCAGAGCCTCTCTCTCTTTTTAGAGATTTAGTCGCAGTCGCAGTCTACGCAGTCCCTACGCAGTCTTCAGACTGGGACGGACTGCATCAGACTGTGTCGTCAGACTGCATCAGAGTGCTCCAGACTGCTCAGACTGGGGGAGCGCAGTCTGACGCAGTCCGCCGCAGTCTGACGCAATCTGGCGCAGTCTGACGCACTGAAATGCTCGCCGATCCCTGCCCGTCGACCTCATCTTCTCTCGGGCATTCCGGCCCCGCTCACGCGAGCCTCCGCCCGGAACTGCCTCGCGATCGCCCGCGGCGGCGGCAGCCACTCCTCGGCCACGGCCCTCTGCACGAGCGCCCACCGCTCGACCACGCTCCCGACTTCCGCCGCGGCGACGCAACCATCGGCGTCCACGTCGAAGAGCGAGGCTAGTGCCCCGGGCCACGCCTCGGCGGTGCCAAGCGCGCGCCGCGGTGGCGGCGGTAGCTCCGCAACCGACAGGCAACCGTCCGCGTCGGCGTCGAGCTCGGCGTGGCGCTGCACGGCGAGCCGGCGCGCGCGCACGGGGAGGAGGCCGCCCAGCTGGAGAGACAAGAAAAAGAGCTCGCGCACCGGGAGAGCGGCAGACGAGGCGGGCGGCGCGAGGAGTGAGGCGTAGGGCAAGTCAAACTGCGCCCAACACTCATGCACGTCCCACAGCCGTCGCAGGGCGGCAAAGCGCTCGTCCCAGTGGAGCACGGGCGGCGGCGTCGCGAACTGAAAGGTGATGGAGGCAGCGCACTCATGCGAGGTGGTGGTCGTCTCGTGCACCGTCCCCGGGGGGAAGAGGATCGCCTCGCCCGGCGCCAGATCGCCCACCCACGTCGGCCGCCACCCGCCGCGCCGTCGGTATGCGGCGCCATCCTCGTACTGGTTGCGAGGTCGCAGCGGCGTGAGCTGCGACGGAGGGACGGCAGACAGGCGCCACCGCTTGGTGCCTGCGAGCTGGATCGAGATTGTGCTCTCGCAGTGCCCGTCCACATGCGCCTGGGCGCCAGCGCCCTTCGCCGACAGCCACACCTCTGGTGAGGCGCCGAGCTCCCCGCCGTGGGCTGCCGGGTCCATAAAGTAAGGCACGCCCGCGGCCTCCTTCACCGCCTCGAGGTACGGCGTCTCCGCCTCGCTCACTGCCCGGCCCTCGTCGTAGCCGCCGCCGAAGGCCGCCTCCTTGATGCCCCAATAGCGCGGCCCATGTGCGGGCCCGTCCGGGTCGGGGCAGCCACTCGGCTCGTCACCTAACACAGCGCTCTCCGCCATCGTCGAGCGCTTGTCGCCGCCGGCCACGTAGTGCAATGTGACGGCCGCGTCTGGGAACCGCACTGCGAACTCGTCGCATGTCCAGTTGCGCATCGCAAAGCCGGCCGATCGCTCGAGCGCGTCCGACACGACGAACGGGGCGCCGCGGCGCACGAGCGCGGCGAAAGTGGCGCCGTCCAGCGCAGCGTGCCGGGGGAGGGGAGCCATGCCCCCCTCCCTCGCCTTGCTTCCGCCGCCGCCGCCGCCGCCAGCCTCGCTGCCGCCGTCCCCGCCGCCTTCCTCGCCGCCTCCCTCGCCGCCTCCGCCCCTGCCGCCCCCCCCGCCGCCTCCAACGCTGCCTCTGCCGCCTCCGCCGCCGCCTCCCGCCTCAGAGTGCCGTCGCTCCGCCTCGGCGGCCTCCAGTGCCGCCGCGTGGGCGCGAGCCACGGCGAGCAGCCCCTCCGTCGCAGCAGCCTCGAGCTCGGGGGTCACGAGATCGTACGCCTCGCCCGCCGCCGGCCAATCGTAGTCCTGCTCGACGCTGATCAGCAGCAGCACGCGGCGCGGCGCAGAGAGCACCTCCAAGCGGGTGAGGACGCCGTCCCGGTTCGCATCGAGCGCCTCGAACCACGCGGCGCCGCGGGGCGCGGCGGGCAGCAGGTCCCCGCCTGTGGATAGTCAGAACGGAGTCACAATCCACGAAGAGGCTCCGCGGCGCGCCGTCAGCAAGTCGCCGCCCCGCTCGTGCTTTGCCCTCCACCAGCGGGCGAAGAGAGCCGCGTCGAGGAGGCGCCGCCTGCGGGCGGTTTGCTCGACGGCGGAGAGGAGGCGCTGGCGGGTCTGCGAGAGAGTGTTGTACCCGAGAGGCACCACGCCGGCGCCCGAGTACCACCAGAGCGGAAGCAGGAGCGGGAGCGGGAGCGGCATCGCGGTGGGCGCGCGGGCGCATGCGGCCGGGTCGTACGCCACGTCTCGCTCCCACAGGAAGGAGACCGCAACCGACAGCTCGCTCGAGGCGGAGGAGACTTGGTGCGCGTATCCCCACGGCACGAAGATGCAATCCCCCGCCCGCTGCGTCGCCTGCATTGACCGGCGGGCATAATGAATGATAAGAATTGCCCAGCAGACGCACCCCCCCCCCCGCCCCCTGCGTCGCCTCCCGCATCGTGACGGACCACAGCTGCGGGTGCGCCTCCAAATCGACCGCCGCCGGGTCGATGCCGACGAAGTCAGACCCGTCAAACACGGGCCGGCCGCCGTCGACCCCGCGCAAGTTGCCCATCGCCCACGGCATCTGCTGCACCTCGCGCTGCCGTGTGTCGAGAAAGAGCCACCGCTTCTCGCCGCGCAGCAGGCAGTTGAGGATATTCGTCTGGTCGTAGTGCACCTGTGCGTCGGTGAAGGAACGGTGGGCCGGCGGCTCGGCCCGCTCCTTCCCTTCCCCCCCAGGATGCGAGAAGGCTCACCCCCCGTCCTCTAGCATCGGTGCAGCAAAGGAAGGTGCGGGCTGCCGCCGGTTGGCGGATGATGGTCCAGGAGGACTAGTGACGGAAGCAGGCTGAAAGTGTGTCTTGCTTCTAGTGGCCGGATTAGATCATGCCCCACTGTGGTTCGTCGAGGCTCAGGAGAGTGGCGGCGCGCCTGCGACGCCGTCGGCAGGTTGGCGATCCACAAGCCGAACTCGTCGAGCGGCGTCGCCCAGCCGACCTGCAGGAGAGGGAGTGGCGGGCCGTCGAGGTGGTGCTGTGCAGCGCTGTTGCATGGACACGCGGCCCTCCGCGTCGGCTGTGTGAGTGCCGATCAGCGGCCGCTTCTAGTTGCAGCCACCGTCTGCCGCGGCCCGTCCGACGGGGCGGCGAGCCTCTCTGGCGTCGAGCGGTCGGAGCCGCAGAGGAGGAAGGGTGGCAGCGTCAGGTCCTCGAGGAGGCGGGAACAGGAGAGGGAGGGAAGGCGGTGCGGTGTGGGTGAGTATTTTGTGGGAGAGGACGTGCGGAGGTGGTGGCGATGACTGGAGGAGGGGAGGAGGTGCAGCGACGGCGGCAGCGGTGGCAGTGGCGGTGGCGGGGAGGGGGAGGAGCAGCAGGTGGCAGTGGCAGGCAGACCTCTGTCATTGGGTGCGCGACGTTGGAGATGGCATACACGTCCTCTCCGGCAGCGCCCCGGCGAAGCAGCTCGGTGAGCGGCATGCCGCCGCGCTGCGACCCTGCCACGCGGTCCTCTTTGGCGCGCTCCGTCCGCACGGTGCTGTTGCCGTACCGGCTGACGAGTGTGTCGCGATCCCACTCCCGAGCCGCAGGCATGTCGGCAGCGGCACCGCGGAGGAGCAGCGGCCGCCACGCGTCCACGTCGACCGTCCAAAACTCGCGCGCCGTCGGCGTGTGCTCGATCGTCGCGATCGACCCAACCACGCCCCACGAGCCGAGCGCAAGCCGGGAAGGCGCCGGCCGCCGCCGGAGGAGCGCGCTGTACGCCGCAGCGATCACGACCGCCGCAGCCGCAATGCTGGCGGCGGGCCCTCTCACATACATAATATCCTATCTTGTGCGCCAAGCGCCACCCGTCGGGAGCCCGCGGAGACGCGTCGCGGTGTGGTGGCGCGGCGCGCGGCGGCAGGAACCCAGGCGCAGAGACGCTTGGAGAAATAGAGCACAAGCTCCAAGTGCTCCAAGCCTGGGCCAGTTGTCACTTCGGCGGCGCACCCAGCCTACCTCGGCGCGCGAAGACATACCAACAACACGGCGGAACTAACCGCCCTAGCCGAGCTCCTCCGGGCTCTCCTGTCCTCGTCGCCGCAACGAGCGGGCTCACGCGGAGTAGTGCGGACCGACAGCGAGTACGCGGCGGCGTGCATGATGGGGAGGGTGACCCCCAAAACGAACAGACAGCTAGCGGAGCGCCTTCGTTCCCTCTGGCGACGCCTTCGCGCCAAACACACCGTGACGTGGAGGCATGTGGCGGGTCACAGCGGCAACAAATGGAACAACTACGTCGACGAGCTAGCTGCTCGCGGCAGGCAAGGTGACAGAGGCTCAAACGCTGCCGAGTGGGCGGACAACACCATCCCGACGGACACTCCCGACGAGGGGAGCGACACGGAAGGACCCGCCCCCGCCCCTCGGGGCGGGGGCCCCCGCCCCCCCGGGGGGCCCTTTGGGGCCCCTCCAGGGGGCGACCCCTCCGGGGAGGCCGGCCCTCCCCGTGCCGGTTCTCCCCAACCAACCCCGCCGACAGCGCGAGCTGCCAGCCATATTGAGCGGTTCAACCGCGTCGCGCACTCGTCCCAACCGAGGGCCGCAGACTCGTTCTGCGCGCCAACGGCTGGTGACGCTGTGTTGCCCTTGAGCTAGTCCTTCCCCGGTCGCCTAGCCTCTGCGCTGTCTGGCGGACGCCTGTATGCCACGCACGCGGACCACGCTTGCGTGGATACGTGGCTGGCAGGCTGACCCGTGTGCAGGGTAACCCGCGCACGGGGAAGCTTCACGGGTTCGAGCCGTCAAACATTGAGCAGCGGAGGTGTGCCGAGGGGGACCGGGAGGCGGTAAGCCGTCGTCGCCCGGCGCTGCATGCATGGGGGTCATCCCCATCCACCTTTGGCTCTGGACTTCGGCTGATGAGTTTTAATTAGTGCAATGCGTTTTCCTAAGGAATCTTCCGCGAAGTTTCCGAGTTTTGTTATATTCGTGATGCATACCTTCATTAGACATAATGAATTTCCTCATTTCACGAAATGCCTCATGCTACATGGTTTCGAGGTTTTTCCATCGAACTCCTATTATATCTCTCATATTTTAATTCTTCGCATCACGACATACTTCTTCACTCAAAGTCCCGCGACATGTTGTCTCGACTTTCCTACAACATGCTGGCACATTGCCAAACCTTTTTTACGGCGCGGCGGAAGGTGCAATCCTCTAGCGCCTCGCGCCTCTTCATCTCTGCACGACGTGCCTCTTCCCGCCGCGCCGCCTGCAGGACACCTTCATCCACGACATCGATGTGCCTTACCAACGGGTCGACGACTTACAGTCCATTGCGCTTTGCCTGGCCTCAGCGCATGCGCCGCCGTCAAAGCTCACCCGCCTTGTCAACCGGACTATGGTAGAGGGTGGGGCACCGTACCCGAACTGCGTCGGTCTGCCTCACTACCCGCCCGACTCATTTGACAATGATCTCACCTACCCAATCAAAGGGCACTACGAGCGCGCCAACGGGGCGCTCTGGAAAAGGGTGTGATCTCTTTCCGCTCTACGCTCAACGCACCCATTCTGAGTTTTGAGCCGCTCTTAAACTTTGGGTCCCTGGCAATGTCACAAGAGACGAGGGCTGGGCGTGCTCCTCACTCCCAGTGTTGCGTTCCTTTGGCAAGGGCGCTTCATGTAACATGCCGAGGCTTGCTCCGCCTCCGAGGAGCCTACAGACCGTACTTACAGAACTGATAACGCGAGCAAGTGCATCTCTCCTTTGTTTGCACTATGACCTGTCGCTGCTTCCCCGAGTATCGGATGGGCACCTTCAGGCCAAGGCACGAGGGGGTCTGTCAGTGGAAAACCACTTCACAGCTGTATGCCTTGCTCCTTTAGGTGCTCTTAGTACTGACTCATCCGTCCCTGACTGCCTGAGTACACTCCCTTCCTATTGTCTTGTACTAGGCGTCCTGTGGGTGTGTTCACAGTCTTGTGTGAATTTCGGCGCCGCCGAAATTCAAGGTCCGCCGGTCTCTTTTGACCGCGGCGTTAGAGAGAGCTTTGCTACATGTTGCCTCTTGTCTTCTCTCTGGGGAGGAACGGGGCGAGCCCCCTCCAACCCACCCGCGCTAGGTCTCGGGGGACGAAGGGGTCACACCCGACGACCTCGGGAACTAGCCGGGGCAGTCGGAGAAGTGGCAACTCCGTGCACTGACGGTCGGCCGCCAGAAAACACGCCTCCGTGGCTCGGGTTACACCACTCCTCGCTACCCAACGCGGCCAAAGGATATCCACCTCGAGAACCTCGAGAACCTTCTCTCTGGCGCTCTCGCTCCTGGCCGGCGTGAATCCGCCGACCCGGGTATGTGTTAGCCTTCTGCATCTCCGTGCTCGGCGCGAGCAGCTGACCCTCGAGGCCCGCCTCAACCGCAGTATACAAACCTCGTGAGCCACGCTACGCCCCTCCTCCCGCAGGCTCACCGACGAGTGGTTTCGCCCCTCCTTCCGCGGGCTCACCGACAGATACATACAGAGAATATGGGGGCGGAGGAGAGCACGATGGGTGGCGGCGGCGGCGGCGGCCGCAAGCAGCAGCAGCCGCGCTTCGACGTCGTCAAGCTCAGGGTTGTCGCGTACACGGTCCCGGTGCGACCTGCCGCCGAGCCGAGAATTGTGCCCGCCACGGCATCGCCACAAACGCTGCACTACTCGCAGGTGACGCACGACGTGGAGCCGGCTTCGGAGGAGATCTGCCGCCTGCCGCGCGGCACGGTCGTCGAGGCGGTCGAGGAGAAGGCGAGCCGCAACGGGACGGTCCGCGTGCTGATCACAGACCCGATTTGGAAGGG